AGCCTGGCCAGGTCGCACTGGATGGTGGCACAGTCCTCCGGTGTGTCAGCCACTACTCCCAGTGCTGTGTCACCAGCAAACTCACTGGTGGTACCCTCCATCCCTTCATCCAGGTCATTGATGGAGATATTGAACAGGACCGGACCCAGAACTGACCCCTGAGGGACACCACTTGTCACAGACCTCCAACGGGACTCTGCGAGGCACACGCTGGGACCACAGGCCGAGGGGGCACGGGGGGAGCCCATGGCACGAGGACATGACGAGTGTGGGGACGCGGGTGGGCATGGAGAACACGGGGGGCGCGAGGAGGCAACGTGGGGTGGGGGGCTGGAGCCCTCCATGGGGCTGACGGGGGTCTGTGTCCCTCCCAATGGCGCAAAGGAGACACTGACACAGTGGGGGTGTCCCAGGGCTTTATTGGGGGACAGCGGGGACACCCCAGCACCCAGCAACCCCCCCCTCCCAGCACCCAGGGCCCACCCCTGCGACCACGGGGCGAGGGGACATGACGACATGACAGGCATGGGGACACGGGTGGGCATGGAGTACACGGGTGGTCACAGGAGGTCACAGATGGTTCCAGGTGGTCATGGATGGACACGAGCCATCATGAGTGGTCATGGGTGGTTCCAGGTGGTCATGGGTGGTCCTGGTTTGTCACGCATGGTCATGGGTGGACATGGGAAGTCACAGGCGGACGTGGGTGGTTCCAGGCGGTGATGGATGGACACAGGTAGTCATGGGAGGTCCTGGTTGGTCACAGATGGTCATGGATCGGCACAGGAGGTCCCAGGTGCACACATGGTGGTCATGGCTTCACACAGGTGGTCACGGGTGATCCCGGTTGGTCATGCATGGTCATGGGAGGACATGGGAGGGCACGGGTGGTCATGGGTGGGTCCAGGTGGTCATGGATGGACATGGGAGGTCCCAGGTAGACACGGGCAGTCATGGCTTCACACAGGTGGACATGGGTGGTCCTGGGTGGTCATGGGCACACGGTTGGCCACAGGAGGACATCAATGGTC